GTCGCTCCCAAAGTTAAAATATTTGAACATTGGGAGCGACGCGACTTGGCGTCCGCGACCTCGGCGACGCGACCGGTCGAATTATTGACGTGCCAAAACTATGGGGCCATATGGGTCTTTTCAGCGGCGCTGTTTCCGACCCCATACAACCTTAAAATGGTCCGTTTGTCCTACACGATGGACGCGCTTCTTTTTCTGCAGATGAGACGCATGCTACTCCTCTTCTCTGGTGTTTTTGTTCCGAGGTTACGGAGGCGTGGCGCCCACCAACATGCACTGATCATACTCCGACTGCGCTGGTTACCTGGTAGAGAAAATCGAATTCCAATCACATTATTTGGGTGTCTTAATGGAAGCTCTCAGACTCCGATTATGGTCAGACTAAGGTGTTTACATGCACTTCAGTTGTCTGGTCTTATTCGAGTAAGGCGATAATTCGGTTTTCTTGGGTGTTATGGAAACGTACTGAGTGATGCTCCCTCTGTCCTGTACCACAGAGGTCTTTGCTGCTGCACACACCCTCATGGAAGGACAGTGCAATAATAACAGGGTTAGCACTAAACCAAACACTCTAGATGGTTTCTGCTGCACCACCGGGAAGTGAAGTTAGTACAAAGTTTGATAATTAGCAGCCCAAATCCTGTCCAACCTGAAACCAACTTTACAGAGTGTGAGAGCAGCATTTGAGTGAGTTTTATTTCTTTGGAGGACAGATATGAGTTTTTCAAACAAAGACAGAAAGTAGATCTGGACTCACAGAAACTTTCCCTCCACAGTGACTCTGATGATTTCACTCCACATATTACAATCAAAATCTAAATCTGTCCACCAACAACAATCAGCTCCACACACGACACACACACACACACACACACACACACACACACACACACACACACACTAACTCGTCTAAGCATCTCTATAAAGTGATGTTTTCATTATTTCCTGCAGCCCACTCACTCCCTGCGTCTGTGCCGAGCGGCTCCTCGTCTTCTCCTTCTTCTTCTTCTCGCCGCTCTTATCTCAAACAGCTCTTGTGATGTTGAGATGATTGTTTAACAGCCAAACTACCACGGCTGTAAAAACTGTGTCTGTGTTTGAAATCTGGCAGCAGCTGATGCTCCACTGCTGCAGGCGACGATTTCAAGCAGATCCAGGCAGAATGTGCAGAAAAAGTTGTGGAGAGAGCTCTGTGTGCATGATAATGAAGGAGGTTTGTTTCTGTGCCAGTTTGGGCTCTTCAAGTGCAGCTGCTATGGAGCCAGCTGAGGAGACTGCTGCAAAGTTCACATCAGAGGGAGATGGAGGAGATATTCAGCAAACATACTGTACTTTTCCACAGGATGGAGAAAAAAAAACAAAAACTTTGATCAGAGAAGGACGTATGTGCTGCGAGGACCAAAACAACAACAACAGCTTGGAGAACAATGAGAGAGTTTCACCACCTTGGAGAAATCTGGAGGAAATCTTTGCTGACCTTTTGACTAAGAACATCTCAGAGTTTCTGCAGAGTTTCCTGCAGGCGGAGCTTCTTCCTCTGATAGATCACTTTCCCACCGTTCTTGTTTGGTGACAAGGAGGAAATGTTTCCAACAGGATGTTGTTTAATTGCAGTAATCCTCCTCCGGGCTGAGAGGTGTTATTAAGAATTCACACTGGAGATGGTTAGACACACACACACACACACACACACACACACACACACACACACACACACACACACACACACACACACACACATCACCTGAGTTTCATTTAGAGGCTGCTGCAGTTTACCCACACAGCTTATACACATCTACTCCTCACACATCTACGATCATGGACATCTTCTATAATACCTTTTTTTTAATAGATCTAATCTAATTCAACATTAAAACCCTTAGATAACACCCCGAAAAAAAAAACACTCATAACCGTTAAGAGAAAGTTTGTTAAAAGCCAGACCATCAGACTTCAATTTTCTGTTGTATCATAACTTTAATACCTTCACCAAACTACGTTTCGTATTAAACCAATTATAAAACTTCCACTGTTACACCTCAATCCATGTACAAGGGTGTTTTATACTGTAGTATAGTATCCATAGTATCCAGTTTAATTTAAATCTTATAATAAACATCAACTCTGTGTTTTCTTCCTTTCTGCAAATCCACAAACAGATGGGCCAAAAAAAAAGGAACAGATTGATGAAAGTATGGACGGACACGTGGACGGAGAAAAAACACAGAGGACGGAAAACAGGGACGGACACTGAGAAGAGGAAGTACACTCACCGGCCACTTTATTAGGTACACCATGCTAGTAACGGGTTGGACCCCCTTTTGCCTTCAGAACTGCCTCAATTCTTCGTGGCATAGATTCAACAAGGTGCTGGAAGCATTCCTCAGAGAGCTTGGTCCATATTGACATGATGGCATCACACAGTTGCCGCAGATTTGTCGGCTGCACATCCATGATGCGAATCTCCCGTTCCACCACATCCCAAAGATGCTCTATTGGATTGAGATCTGGTGACTGTGGAGGCCATTTGAGTACAGTGAACTCATTGTCATGTTCAAGAAACCAGTCTGAGATGATTCCAGCTTTATGACATGGCGCATTATCCTGCTGAAAGTAGCCATCAGAAGTTGGGTACATTGTGGTCATAAAGGGATGGACATGGTCAGCAACAATACTCAGGTAGGCTGTGGCGTTGCAACGATGCTCAATTGGTACCAAGGTGCCCAAAGAGTGCCAAGAAAATATTCCCCACACCATGACACCACCACCACCAGCCTGAACCGTTGATACAAGGCAGGATGGATCCATGCTTTCATGTTGTTGACGCCAAATTCTGACCCTACCATCCCAATGTCGCAGCAGAAATCGAAACTCATCAGACCAGGCAACGTTTTTCCAATCTTCTATTGTCCAATTTCGATGAGCTTGTGCAAATTGTAGCCTCAGTTTCCTGTTCTTAGCTGAAAGGAGTGGCACCCGGCGTGGTCTTCTGCTGCTGTAGCCCATCTGCCTCAAAGTTCGACGTACTGTGTGTTCAGAGATGCTCTTCTGCCTACCTTGGTTGTAACGGGTGGTTATTTGAGTCACTGTTGCATTTCTATCAGCTCGAACCAGTCTGGCCATTCTCCTCTGACCTCTGGCATCAACAAGGCATTTCCGCCCACAGAACTGCCGCTCACTGGATATTTTTTCTTTTTCGGACCATTCTCTGTAAACCCTAGAGATGGTTGTGCGTGAAAATCCCAGTAGATCAGCAGTTTCTGAAATACTCAGACCAGCCCTTCTGGCACCAACAACCATGCCACGTTCAATGTCACTCAAATCACCTTTCTTCCCCATACTGATGCTCGGTTTGAACTGCAGGAGATTGTCTTGACCATGTCTACATGCCTAAATGCACTTAGTTGCCGCCATGTGACTGGCTGATTAGAAATTGTTAAGTGTTAAGTGTTAACGAGCAGTTGGACAGGTGTACCTAATAAAGTGGCCGGTGAGTGTAGACTCGACCAATAAGAGACCAGATGTTAGTCTGAGGATCTACAGGATACAGTCAGTTTCCTAAAATCTCCATCTAGACTTTTGGAGGAGAAAGCGAGCATATTTGGCGTTGAACATTTTCAGGATTCCACGATAGGGACTTCTGAGCAGGTATCCTCAGTCTAACATCCAATTTAACTGCATCCAAATGGCATATTGTATCTTTCAATTGTAGCTGATCATAACCATTCAGGTTAACGTGTCAATTTCCACTGGCTTCTTTCCGTTCCTCTGTGGATCGCTGGACTCTGCAGCTAATCACAAGAGTTCTATTTTTTCTGTGACTTCTTGTGAGTTCTCACGATTCCTACTGTCTGTAATCCACCACGAAATTCACCTCATAAACGGATCCGGTAGGAATTGGTGGATGGCTAAAAATCGCCGCTGTTCCAGATCAAAGCCATTCCGGACACAATGAAAATTGGGGAGACCATACCCTCAAGGCTCCAACTTCCCTAAACGTGCAGTTGCTCTCACGTCCAGCAGGAGGTGAACCAGAAGCCAACAGAAATTATTCATAATGCTCTGTAAATATTTTGTTACTGAGTCTGATCAGTGTGATAAATAGAGACAGAGTATTACACCTGGTCCTCACATTGATCTGTTGGTCTCTCTGGGTTTTTATTCATCAGCCTGTTTTTCCTCCCGAAAACCCAAAATTATTACAAAAACCCAATTAGTCATTTTCTTTTGTTATTCTCAATCAGAGCAGCTCAGAGGAACACAATCAGAGTGGGAATGAAAATCTCTCCTAAACTCAGATGTGATGATTATAGCTAATAAAAAATGTTCTCCTGGTACTGTTATTTTATTACTTATTCATCAGCAGACTGAAATTTAGCTCCGTGGAAATTGAGCAGGTAGAAACTCAGGCACAGAGAACAGATTGGGAAACAAGCCGACGACAACGACGATCCTTTCAGAGAGAGATTTTCTCTGTTTAACTTTGAAGTCATTAATTCAATCACCTGAGAGCAGAGAGCATAAAGGTCGAAAATCTATATTTATAAAATGTAGACGGACTGAAACATGACTCCCACTCTATTTTGAAGCTGCACTGTTCCATCTTTATAGCTCCCGGTCTGAGGGCACTATGAGCTCTCAGTGGAAACAGTAAAATCAGAGGATCATGGTCCAAACCGGAGCCAAAAACTGAGTCCATGCAGGGGGATCAGACTGACCTGAGTCCTGTTTTCAAGCTCTGTGTCCTGTCTACCAAAAACCATAAAAGAGAAACCTGTATCATATCCAAACAACCTCGTCTCTCTTTAAGACCTAAATCCAGACAGGGTTAAAAGACCAGCGTCTGCAGACCCAGGGCTGCATTTTGAGGACTGCAGTTAGAAGACTCAGAGACTGTTGTAGTTATTTGCAGCTGAACAATCTTAAATGTTGTTTTCAGAGTCTAGTGTGTGTCCATGTTTAGTGTCTGAGGGTAGCCTGAACCCAGAATCACAGTTCTGAAACTGAAACTGTGTCGGTTTTGCAGACACAAATCTTTTCTCAGTTTTTGGTCGACTACATAGAAGAGTTACCCCGAATCTCCACCGCGTCCGGAACGGCTCCGATCCCGAACGGCTCAGATCAAGAACATCAGCGATTTTTGCCGTCTGCCAGTACCTACCAGATCCGTTTGTGAGGTGAATTTCGTGGCAAATTACGAGCAGTAGGAATTGCAAGAACTCACAAATACCCGCAAATTCACGTTCAATGAAGCGATAACGAGTTGTCTCTACAAAGACAGCCGCATAGACATATAAGCAGTAGATTGTGTCCGTCCAGAGGAGGAAATCTACTTCTAGACTTCTAGAATCAGCATCTCCTCATCCATGGTGTCATCGGGGTGAAATAACGTCTAAAAACCTTTCACTTGTTTGTCTCCACCCGTTTGCATGGTGTAAAATCCAATCCGCCTGAAACACGGTTGGCAGACAGTGAAATTCGTTGCTGTTCTGGATCAGAGTTGTTCTGGATACAGTGGAAATCTCAGGTAATAGAGGAACAACCAAACAGGTCAAACAAATTAGTCACATGACTCTAGAGTGAAAATCACTGCACGGAAAGGACAACTGGACTTACTTGAGTCCAGTTGTCCTTTCAGTGAAGAATAGGAAATCATATAAGGTTCAAACTGAACCACGAAAGAGTAGACCAGATAAAGACAGGATCCAGAACCACCAGAGACTTCTCTGGACCTGAGCCTCCCACTGCACAAAAAGTGGTTCATAAAACGTTAAAAACCCTGAGAAGATGTTTTTAGAGGGGTCAGAATGAACGTTTTGATCACGTCTTTTCTGAACGTTGTTATGACGTCATCTCCACACCTTCATAAGACGTTTCAGAGGGACCAAAACAAAACATCTGTCCTAGATGTCACAACAATGTACAACAATGTAACCGACGTCTTGAGAGGGGCCAGAATGAAAGTTTTCTGTACGCATCTCCTGGATGTTGTTAAATGGCTTTTTTGTGTGCTTTAGGCCTAGAAACGATGTTATATAGATGTTCATTATATGGTCTGTCTTAACATCTATCCTTGACTGGTTCTGGCTATCTGCTGACATCTAGAATTGGACCAGGCTCAACAACATCACTCAGTGTCATGTTTCAACTGAATATGGACGTTATATAGACGTTCAGATTACGTTCTGAACGGACCAACGTGATATCTTCCTTTTTTTGACGTCCATTGCTTGCTCAGTGGGCTGTTTAAAGTGGACTAAGAGGATTTACTAACGATGACAGAGTGTTGATGAAAGAGGAGCTGATGAGACACGATGAGAAACATGACCCTGTTTGCATGTTATTCAAACGTTTTGCTGTCATCTAATTTAAAACAAAAATATTTTTCATATTTTTAGATTGAACATCTGAGATGTTTCAGACCGGTCTGCTAACTCAGACCGAGAATAAGACCCTGATCTGCAGAGAGAGAGAGAGAGAGAGTTTTTATTTAGGACAGAGAACATTTGCATCTTTCCTTTGACATGTAAACTCAGCTCTATAATGAAGCTTCCTCCTTCTTCTTCTCCGGCCACGGTCAGATGAAATTTTCCACTTTTCATATGTGGGTGGACTTGGCAATGGTTGCATAATCTAAAGATGTATAAATATGAACTTTCTCAGTTTTCAGTCCACGGCCTAGTATCGCTGCAGAATCTGAACCGCTTTTTTTTCACTCATGTTGTCGTCATGTGATCGTTTTTCCCTGGAGTCAGACAGCGAGTGACAATGTGCAAATCTACTGGCCCATTTTTGCATGAGCTGAATATGCAGGAGAAGTCTTCGTCTATGTTCGTGTCACTGTGAATAAAGTAGGGCACTTCGCTTAAAAACAAACAATGGAGGCGTGAATAAAGAGACACAAACACTAATGCAGCTGCTCTGCTTCACTTCCCCGTCCTTATCTTACCAGATAAAACCCCCGAAAAACGGCGGCGGATCAAAACGTCCAAACTTCGCTTCATGTTTGGTCAAAAGTGGCAAAAAATTGGGTTTGGAGTTTCACTTGATCTCAATCTTAGATTTAATTTAGATGTACTTTGAGCAAGCTTTGATTTGCTTCTGTGACCTGCAGAGAGCTCCAAGCAGATCAGTATCTGCAGATAAAATCATGTCTCTATTAATGAACAAAGCCCAGAGTAACTGAGGGAGACATCTACTGTAAAACATCTACAGACAGCACTCAGTGCAGAGATTAGTCAGCTGTTAGTCCCTGATGTGTGAATGTGATACAGGTGTGCATAGATTAATGAAGTAATCGGAGACAAAGCCGAGCGCAGAGCGAGCTGCCTCCAGGTCACAGTCAGCTGAGAAAGAAACTCCTGTTCTCAGACGGATGTTCAGGTTTTAATCAGCTCTGGGCGCTTCGCTGCTACAGAGACCCAGTTCTGCTGGAAACATCACATCCTCAAATGATGCTCAACTTTAATTAAATCTGCTGCAAACAACGCTGCACCACTAATGCTGCAGAAAGAGTCGCCGTCAGCGTCTGAGGGTTTGTTCAGAGTTGGCCGGCAGTAAACACTCTTGGTTTAAGACTAATTCAGTGTTTGGAGAGACCCTACTGGCGACTTATTCCACCAATAACCTCCCCCCTATAGGATCACAGGGTCACATTAACCCCTCCATCATGTTCTTGACTAATCATGTAATCTAGTGACCCAGTGGAAGTAAATCAATTAACTTTAAAACAAACAAAAGTCCTAAATCTTAGTTACATGAGGAAACGTCTCTACAGTCTGAGCCCAGCTGAGATCTGAGTATCTAACCCCCAATTTCCGATCGTAGCTGATCGTAACCATTCAAGTTAACATGTCAATTTCCACCGGCTTCTTTCAGTTTTTCTGCAGATCACCAGACTCCTCAGCTGTCTGCAAGAGTTCTATTTTTCCCGGACGCCGGAGCATGCCGGATAAATTCAGCACAGATTAACCTGTGCTGGAATGGAAGTCGGGCACAGACACAAAATAAAACATCTGGCTTCTTTTCAAAATAAAACACAACACTGTCTTTAATTTGCCACGAAATTCACTTCACAAACGGATCCAGTAGGAATTGGCGGAAGGCAAAAATCTGCTGCTGGTCCGGATCGGAACCATTCCGGATGCGGTGAAAGTTGGGGGTTAGACTCTTTAACAAACACTCAGACCCCTAAAGGTGGGGTAGGCAGGAATCCGATAAAGACGCATATTTTTTTGTGGTGCATTTATAAAAAAAGCTTTTAATATCAGTTAATATTAGTTATTTATGACATTTGGGACTAACACGATATCTCACTGCCTGCCCAACCTGATTGTTTGTGAGGCAGACGCTGCTCCCCCGTGTCGTTCACGAGCACAAACAAAGTTAGAGTGCTACAATATCGGACAGTAGAATGACCAGAAAGTTCGGAAAATTGTCTGAATCCTCCTTTGGCCACGACTGCCAACACAAGCAAGAAAACAAAGTAAATACCGGAGATTCTGGAGGAATAACAGGCACTTAAAACAGAGGTGAACCGGACAAGAGCTAAAAAGACGGGTCAACATAAACAATGGGGGGCGCTTCGGGATCTTGGTGACCCTGTAACCTTTCTGCTGGACAGGTAAACTGCTTTACCAAAGTAAGCCAAGTGTCTGTAACAGAAGTGTTTCTTGTCAAACAGGACCTGCTGTAGCATGTTGTAGCACCGCTAAACTGTTGACCTCTGGTCCTGGATTATGTCACTTTATCCTAGTTGTAGAAGTCCTGCAAACATTGTGTTTGCTGGTAGTCTGTTGGCATCTACAGTAGCACCACTGCGTTTTACTTTCACCTTGACTGGCCCCCTTTTGTAATTATATGAAGTATTTATCTGCATTATATCTGAATTTCATTGGAATGATACAAGCGAGCAGGAGCGTCTGTTTGTGGGCGGGGCTTGCTGGAGCAGAGAGGGAGGGGAGAGGAGGAGCTGAGGGGAAAACTGTTTGGGAGGGGTAGAGTTTACATTCAAGATTTCTCCTAAAAACTGGAACTTCCTCAGATCCTGACTACCCCTCCTTCAAATACTGCAGGAGTCTTAAGAGGTCTCGGGGTCCAGACTGAGTCACATGTCAGCTCACAGATTGGACCGGTCGGGTCTTATCACTCGATACTTTCTGGAGGAAGAACCAGTCTGAACTCGCAGTAATGAACTTAGTGACTCCTGGCTCTGCTGCTCTTGTTTCTCTCATCTAAATGCAGATGAACTCAGACCGCTTACATGTGCAGAAAAAACACTTTGAGCAGAACCACTGTGCCAGGTCAGACAGATGCTGCTTCATCATGTTTACATCCTAAAACATATAACATACATGTCAGCACTCATGTGATCGACGTTTTCAGCAATGAACAGTATAATCATGTCAGTGTAAAAGAAGTCTGTATTCAAAGATCATGTGAGGTTGATGTCGACTTTAACCCCCAATTTCCACTGCATCCACAACGGCTATGAAAGGTCATATCCTCCAATCGTAGCTGATCGTAACCATTCAAGTTAACGTGTCAATTTCCACCGGCTTCTATCCGTTCCTCTGCAGACCACCGGACTCCTCAGCTGTTTACAAGAGTTCTATATTTTCCGGACGCCCGAGCATGCAGGATAAATTCAGCGCAGATTAACCCGTGCTGGAAAGGAAGTCGGGCACAGACACAAAATAAAACATCTGGCTTCTTTTCAAAATAAAATTGACACGTTAACTTGAATGGTTACCATTAGCTAAGATCAGAGGATAAGACCTTTTTGTAGCTGTTCATGATGCTGTGGAAATTGAGGTTTAGGGTTGTCACAATACTAAAATTCAAACTCAATATTGGTACCCAGGAAAATACTTGATACTCGATACCATTTTCGACCACCCAGGGATAAAAAAATGACAAAAACTTTAAAAGGCATAAAAAATATTTTTATTAATATCAATAATCAGGCAAATTGGTATTGTATCCAGATACAGCATGTAAGTATTGATACTTTTGACAACCCTACCCTCCATCAGAACGTTTGACCTGTTTGGTTGATAAACGTTTTTTTGCTCTAAAAAATAACACATGAATATTATCCGTACATCTATTACCATCATTATTTTGAAGAAGCGGGTTCGACCTGGTGTGCCATGACGGTTTCCACAGAGCGGGTAGATCTGAGTTGGACCAGAATCACATGGACAGACTATAATGATTCCTCTGGAACAATCAGAGCCATTTACAGACATTATCATATCTGTCCTGAGCGGTTCTGATGGGGTGTGACCTCTGTGGGGTTTGAGGGAGGCTCAGCGTGTGTCTGTGTGTGTGTGTGTGTGTGTGTGTGTGTGTGTGTGTGTGTGTGTGTGTGTGTGTGTGTGTGTGTGTGTGTGCGGGGGGGTCATCTGATTGCTGATCAATACCTTCAGGCGATTCAAACTCGCTGCAATCACTGTTGCCAATGAGAATCGATCTGCTCATCATAACACAACAAGCAGCAAAACGCTCACAACGTGAAGCCCTGTTTTCACACACACACACACACACACACACACACACACACACACACACACACACAGAAATACACACAGTAAACACGACATGCTGGTAGCTGCACAGACACACTCTTTTTCTATAATTATGTCGGAGCGATGACTATTTGTCCTGCAGAAAACACTTTTCTTTCCTCCACAAGCTGTCTGATTATTCTTCTCCCTGCTTTGCTTTCTGTTCCTTTCACACACACACACACACACACACACACACACACACACACACACACACACACACACACACACACACACACACACTCTTGTTTAGGTAGAGCTGCACCTGTGAGGCTGTATCAGTGCGTGTTGTTGAGGTGGCAGAGCTGTGAGCTGTGAGTGGAGCCTCACAGACAGTGATTTAATTTAATTTAATTTCAGCTCCTCCACCACAGGGACGCTCTGATAACATTAATTAGCTTTTTCTCTTTTAACTTTTCCAAAAGCGCCTCGTGTTCCTGCTGCTGCTGCTGCTGCTTTTACGGACGGGACCGTCTACCTGCCTTTGCCTCCCCCGTACCTCCACCTGTCTGTCTCCATGACTGATGGCCTGTCTGAACAGTACTTTGCACCATTATCTAGACCACATATATAATTCCTGACACATGCAGTCTGCAGGATGGTAGTTATGGATACAGTGGAGCTTTTAAATGTGTTTCTGAGAGGCCAGGATTGATGCTGCTGTGACTGCTCTATAATTACAGCTGACAGAGGAGGAGAATAAAGTAATCGCTGCTGCTGCTCTGTTGCTTTTATCTGCGAATACTTAAAATGACGAGATCCTCTAATCCTCCGCACTCAGGTCTTCATTTAAGCAGGTCCTCACAGCTGCGATCGCTGCATGCTTGGACTTGTCTGAACCACACCTCAGCCTTCCAGGTCCCGTTGAACTAACATTAAAGGGACGTTTCAGTGTTTTTGAAACGCGGTTTTATGAGTGACATGTCAGTGGATGTTACTTAGCTCCACCCCTTACACAACAAACTGCTGAGAGCACCTGTACACATGCTAGGCTACAGTTTTCTGCAGACAGGGTCAAATCTGTCTCATAATTCTGCTGATTTAGAGAGACCCTGACTCCAGCTTTCTGGACCTGAAGTAGGACTGGTCAATTTGGAAAAAAAAAAAAGATCACAATATATTTTGTCTGATCGTCTAAACTTGATTATTATCACGACTTTTTTTGAATTTTTTAAACTGCCAGTTTGAAAACATCAGTACAAAAACTAAAGAAACTAGAGATTAGATCAACATTTTATCAACATACAAAATAAATAACAGAGAAAAATGAAATAAGACAAACTTAGAAAAATATCAAAACCATTTTAACTCAAGGGGACAAGAAATTAGTTATGGGAAGAACCGTTCTTTTGACTGTACTGAATCTTTAGAATTGGTTCATTACAACGATTTGTTCAAAAGATTCCTTCACTGAATCAGTCAGTGCTTCGGAGCCCCATCCTGGCGGTGCAGTACACCACTTGCTTAATTCACAGCGTTGTTCACTGGGTGACACTTGTCGTTCATTCGCCAAGTCCTGCAGGAAGAATCATTCCCCTACCCTTATAGACTAACCTCTCTGTGTGTCGCAGTTGGCGGAAACAACACAGCAGCAAGCAGCACGCCGCTAAACAAGCGCGAGTCGTCGTTCTTTTATATGGTGGAAAAGTGGAGAGATTAAAAATAAATAAACATGGCAGCTGTGGCGGGGATTCTGATACTTTTAAAGATATCAAATAGTGTATTTCTTTAAATCGGCTGAAATTAAATCCTTCTTACAGGAAAGTTTAAACATGTGTATTAATGTAAAGACACTATAATGACCTGTTTTATTTTAGCCTCAGTCAATAAACCGCTGCTTGGCAGTTCATGAACGACGCTACACCCCTCCCTCCTCTGCCTGAATAAAGTTGTCAGAAGTCGTTCATTTCCTTCACAGACTGATTGATACATGTCGTTCACTCCAGACCAGCACGCCAGGCTCGCGGCTGAGCTCAGCTGAACTGAGAAAGGAACGAATCAAGTCTCAGAGTGATTCTATTCACGTCATTCATTCAGCAGTTCAGTTTTTTTGAACGAATCGTTCATGAACGACACAACACTACCCTCATCATGGATCTGAAGAGAACCTGACTCAGCTCTCAGTCTGGCAATCCGCAGAGGAACGGAAAGAAGCCGGTGGAAATAGACACATTAACTTGAATGGATACAATCAGCTATGATCCGCGGATATGGCCTTTTCGTAGCCATTCTGGATGTGGTGGCAATTGGGGGTTATTCTGTTGTCTGATGTCATCACATGCTGCTCTGATCTGATCCGTTGAAGGTCTGTACAGTCCTTTCTCTTGGATCTATTTGGCACCCCATAATTTGTACCCTTACAAATTCATGGATTTTACCTGAACAGAGGCTGAACAAAGGCTTTACAAAATAAGAGTTTTAATCTGGACATACCTGTCTGACAATAACATGATTTTATATTCTGATCAGTTTAAAAAATACTCAGTTTTCAGGGTGAGTGAGTTCTCTCTGTATGAAACACGATTGTGGTTAAAAACTTCACGGCTCTGTGCGATGAAAAAAAGATCAGGAGGCAGAGACAGGAAGTCCACAATGCTTATTTGTTGTGTTCAGAAACAGAGCGTTCTCAACTTTCACTCTGACTTTGTGTCAGGATGAATGTTTTATCGAATGGTTTAAAGCCTAAAGACAGACAGAGAAACAGACACTACACATGAGCACCGCTGAGAAAGAGGAACATCTGAACACCTGGAGGAGAGAACGAAAGAAAGGAAAAGTTCTTCTGTTAGAGTCCGAAAAAAAGGAGAATCAGAGTTTAAGAGGACGACAAAGAAAAACAAAAAGGTTTTTATCCACCCGCTACAGAACCGAGGAGACTGGAGTCAATTTTAATTTTGATTTGAATGTTTTTTTCCACATGAGCTGTAATCCTGAAACACACCTACACACCAAAACATCCGTCGCCACCGCCACCGCCACCGCCACCGCCACCGCCACCGCTTTGTCTCAGCGTAAATGAAAAACACAAATTACACAAAAGCAATTAAAAAGATTCCCTTTCATCAGCACGCAGGACACACACACACACACACACACACACACACAAACATACACACACAGACCGTGTGAGTGTGTGTGGTAGGGAGAGAGTGTGGAGGCACATGATTGAAAAGTGTTTTTAAGTGTTGTCAGTCTCTTGAATTTATACAACACCCCCCTAATAATTTGCATGTAAATTTAAACACACAGACACACACAGTCTTGGTCTCTTTTACTAGTTTAAATTCTTGAATCTCGTTTGTTTGCGCAGACTGAAAAAAAACTACATTCCTAGAAAGCTGTAATGATGATGATGATGATTGACAGCTCTGCTGACCAATGAGGCTCCTGCAGCTTCAGATAATAAGAAAGGAAGAGATGCTGTGAGAGGAACCATCAAAGACCTACACAGGAGTCACTGAACTCTCTGGATCTGTGAGGGTCTACTTCAGAACCACTAAAGACCATGTTCTGCTGGAAAGTGGCCCCACCTGAGGGAACCTTAACATGAAGTGGACCAACTTTAGGGAACTTTAACCTGGACTGGACCCACCTTAGGGAACTTAACATGGACTGGACCAAACTTAAAGAAATTTTACATGGACTGGACCAACCTGAGGAAGCTTTGACATGGACTGGACCAACCTGAGAAAGCTTTAACATGGACTTGACCCACCTTAGGGAACTTTACATGGATTGGACCAACCTGAGGAAGCTTTGACATGGACTGAACCAACCTGAGAAAGCTTTAACATGGACTGGACCCACCTAAGGAAACTGTAACATGGACTGGACAAACCTTACAGAACTTAAACATGGACTGGACCAACCTTAGGGAACTTTTACATGGACTGGACCCACCTTAGGGAACTTTAACATGGACTGGACCATCCTTATCGAATATTAACATGGACTGGACAAACCTGAGAAAGCTTTAGCATGGACTGGACAAAGCTAAGAGAACTTAAACATGGACTGGACCAACTCTAGGGAACTTTTAGAATAGAATAGAATAGAATAGAATAGAATATTCCTTTATTGATCCCCCATGGGGGAAATTTTTTTGTCACAGCAGCATCACAGACACAGAGTGCAAAAATGCAGTTATAAAAATAAAGATCCTAATATTAAGAACTTAAATAAATGTAATAATTAAGAAAAATTTAGAAAAAGGAAAAAGGGAGGAGAAAAATAAAACTAACTACAATATACACAATTTAAATGCCAGAAAAAAGTGGTGTGTAAATCCAGTTATTATTATAGTTCGTTGTAAAGTGTTATTGCAGAGGGAAGGAGAGACCTGCGGTAGCGCTCCGTCCTGCAAGGTGGAAGTCTAAGTCTGCTGCTGAAGGAGCTGCTTAAGGCCCCCACAGTCAGATGCAGTGGGTAAGAGGGATTGTCCATGATGGATACAGGCTTTGTTAACATCCTCCTCTCACCCACCTCCTCCAGGGAGTCCAAAGAACAGTCCAGGACAGAACTGGCCCTCCTGACCAGTCTATTCAGTCTCTTCCTGTCCCTCTCGGTGCTCCCTCCTTAGGGAACTTTATCATGGACTGGACCAACCTTATGGAATATTACCATGGACTGGACCAACCTGAAAAAGCTTTAACATGGACTGGACCCACCTTAGGGAACTTAAACATGGACTGGACCAACCTTAGGGAACTTTAACATGGACTGGACCAACCGTAGGGCACTGTTACATGCACCGGAACCACCTTAGGGAACTTTTACATAGACTGGACCAACCTGAGGAAACTTTAACATGGTCTGGACCCAACTTGAGGGAACCTTTACATGGACTGGAACAACCTTAGGAAACTTTTACATGGACTAGATCATCCTGAGGAAAATTTAACATGGACTGGACCAACCTGAGAAGGCTTTAACATGGACTAGACCAACCTCAGAGAACTTTTACATGGACTGGACCAATCTTAGGGAACTTTAACATAGACTGGACCAGTCTTAGGGAACTTTTGTATGGAATGGACAAACCTTACAGAACTTTAACATGGACTGGACAAACCTAAGGGAACTTTTACATGGACTGGACCAACTTTAGGGAACTTTTACCAGGACTGGACCCACCTTAGGAAACTTTGCATGGACTGGACCAAACTTGGAGAACTTTTACATGGACTGGACCAACTGTGATAAGAATCAGCTTCTTATCACAGTGTGATAAGAAACTGATTCTGCACAATTTCGTTCTCAATTATCCTCGCAGCACCTCAGCGCTTTACACAGCCGGACGCCCAGCTTCTGCTGACTTCTATGTGGAAGCTCAAAGTGGGTTGTTCCAGCAGCGAAACTAGACGCTCATTGGATAAATGCTGGGCTTTGTCCCGCCCATCGGACGCTGAGCTTCTCTGGAGTTCTATGGCAAGAGGGCGGTCCCGACTTTCTCCTGGACTCCGAGCTTCTGCATCCATGATTGGATGAGCTGTCTGAGGACATGGACTGGACCCAACTGAGGGAACTTTAGCATGGACTAGATCCACCGTAACTGTTACAAAGACTTGACCAACCTTAGGAAACTCCAACATGGTCTGGACCAACCATTGGGAACTGTTACATGGACTGGACCGACCTTTGGGAACCTCAACATGGACTTGACCCACCTTAGGGAACTTTAACATGGACTGCACCATCCTAAGGAAGCTTTAACATTGACTGGACCAACCTTAGGGAACTTTAGCATGGACTAGATCCACCGTAACTTAAACATGGACTGGACCAACCTTAGGGAACTTTGACCTGGACTGGACCCACCTTTGGGAACTGTTACATGGACTGGACCAACCTGAGTAAACTCCAACATGGACTGGACCAACCTGAGGGAACTTTAACATGGAGTATACCCAACTTATTGAACTTTAACATGGAATGGACCCAATTTACGGAACTTATACATGGACTGGACCAACCCTGGGGAACTTTTACATGGACTAGACCCGCGATAGGGAACTTTTACATGGACTAGATCAACCTGAGGGAACTCCAACATGGACTGGACTAATCTTAGAGAACTTTAACATGGACTCGGCCCACCCAAGGCAACTTTAACATAGACTGGAACAACCTCAGGGACCTTTGACCTGGACTGGACTATCTTTAGGGAACTTTAACATAGACTAGATCAGCTTTAGGGAGCTTAACCATGGATTGGACCAACCTGAGAAAGCTTTAACATGGACTGGATCAACCTTAGGGAACTTTTACATGGACTGGACCAACCTTAGGGAACTTTAACATGGACTTGACCAACCTTAGGGAACATTACATGGACTGGGCCTACCTTCGGGAACTTTACATGGACTGGATTAACCTGCGAAAGCTTCAACATGGACTGGACCAACCTGAGAAAGCTTTAACATGGACCGGACCCACGTTAGGGAACTTAAACATGGACTGGACCAACCTGAGGGAGCTTTGCCAACTTGTGGAGCTCTGATGTCCTCTAGGTGAGTTTCATTTGGTTGGAGGACTGGGAGGTCCCCAGACTCTCACTCTGAGTCTTAATGATTTAAGTGCTGACTCAGCAGCTGTGTTTGTATATAATCTCTGGGAGAGATCTAGATGCTTCAGATCTTTAACATCTGTAATTCCTGATCTAGAGGAGGATATCTGGAGATGAAGGACTTAAAGAGTATAGAAAATTCAGCCTCTTAGTGTCTGTGTCTTCATCTCCTGATCTCTAGTCCTCTGAACTCAGTGATGGAGTCCGATCAGTAACTCACCTATACTTTGATCAAACTTCTACGATCTGAACGTTTCAGCGTAAAATTCTCTAGTCGGAACCGTCTGAGACCAACAGAAAACATCAGATATACCTGCATCGCTTCAGCTGCTCCAGACACACACACACACACACTCTCTCTCTCTCAACATGCCTTTGTACCTCCTGCTGTCATGGCTGAGCTCACTGCACATCACATCAAACAGTGAGCCTGCTGTCATCTCTGCACACACACACTAACACAAACACACAGACACACACACACATTACCCATGACTTTAGTGTGTCAGCTGTGTCAGCACGGTCAGAGTGTGTGAGCGTCAGAACCAGGCGGTGTGACCGAGATGAGATGACAGCGGCCGACCCAGCGTCTGAATCGACAGTGTCGGAATAATAAGGAGCCAGAGAACGCCCCCTATTGAGCATAAGCACAGGGGCTGCTGGGGGGTCCATGGGGGCCGCGATGCTGCCCCCACTCCAAACACACACACCCGCTCTTAGATGCTCAACGTCATCGTGGAGGAAATAATGACAGGCGAAGGAGATGGAGGTAAAGAGAGGAGCAGTGGAGCGAGAGAACGGAGCGTCAGCGTGAAGATAGAGATGTGAGCGGAGCGGCTAATAGACTCACAGCAGGAACACAAACACACATATACACACACAACCCAAGAGAGGACAACACACACACACACACAACCTGAGAGAGGACAACACACACACAGCCTGAGGCGGAGTCTCTGCGAAGCCGGGACACACTCTGCTCTCTCTCTCCACCATGTCACACAAACATGCCTCCTCTCCTCTCCTCCTCCCCCTCTCCTCTCCTCCTCTCCCCTCCACTCCTCCTCCTCTTCCTCCTCCTCCTCATTAATACATCTTATTTCTCCTCCTGATTGTCCTTATGTATCAACGCTGGCGGCACCAGAAAACCTTGCGTACGCCAAAATCGGCGCACACATCCGGATTTATCATCGCAAAACGAGCATTGGCGTTGTTGAAGTTGGCGTTGAGCCGATACTTGCGTTGACGGCACTTTGGCGACGCTGTGTAGCGGTGTTTGGTGACTCACTATGTAACAAGCGTGCACCACATCCCCGTGGCCAAGCAGCACGTCGCCCCACATGACGAACCAGCAGCAGACGGAGGGATGCGAGCTGATCCCTGCCAGGCCGCCGTCCTCGCGCGGGAGAATCTCATCGCCACATGGTGAATGGGTAAGAAGTGAATACACAGTTCAATGAGCCAAATTAATTTATTTTCGCCACCAGACGCTCGAGGACATTTATGAGCCGGTCCAGCCGCTCGTTGATCCCCGCGATCCCCCTGATAATTTCTTCCTGCGATTGCAGGACTGCCTCCGTGAGGACCCTTCCACTGCGTCCGGGTGGTCCAGCGGAAGCCTCGCGGCTGGTGGACGCTCCACCGCTTGTCAGTGCACTGGTGCTGATGCTGGTGCTGGGGCCGGGGTGGCCCGAATGCCGCTGGTCCTGGCCGACGACTCCGAGCCAGCGGACGGGCTGCCGCGGGCTGGGTTCCGCAAGCCGGCCGACACATTGATTTCTGTGACACAATAAAAATATTTGTTCATTTCAATTCCTGCTTCTGTGTATCTGTTGCGTTTTCATCTCTCTCCACGGTATCATAGGTAATGTAATCCACTATTTAGAGGTCAGTTATGCACATTACAGTTGTTTATTGCATAAAAAGTTATCGAAAAATGAAGTTAAGGGCGAAGTATAAATCACGTCTAAAAATAGACTGAATCCCGACGTTGAAATGAAGTATAAACTTAGACTAGACGTCTAATATACATCTTTTGCTCAGTGGGATGACAAAGCATGTGGACATTTGTGTGACACGCCACTTACCCTGTAATAATAATCGCCACCACCCGCTGCTCGAACGGCGTGAGGGTCTCCTCCCCCGGACCCCCACCTGTCTGGCCGGTATTCCTCCGGAGGGCAGCTGTATGCCGCTTGACCTCCACCTTGAGGTCCGACCACTTTTTTTTAATCTCCGCGGGGGTGCGTGTCTCGGAACCCACCGCGTTCACCCTCTTGCAAACTTTCTCCCACTCCAAGCGTTTTCATTTTGCACTGACGCCACTGGACAGGCTGCCAAACAAAACACGCTGTCGCTCCTCCACCTCCGCCACCAGCACCTCCACCTCGCACGCCATAAATTTCGTTTTTCTTGTCATTTTGTCTGCGTGCGAGGACAAGGAGACTCAATTTAAATAAATCTGCATATTTATAGGAGGGCGTAACGGGGGCGGGCCCAGTCACACCGACATCTGCGCTCAATCCCACACTGATTGGGATTTATCAAGCAAACACACGTGGATTTCGGCGCCCGCACACATTGATACATACGGATTTTTTTCAGCGTGACGGACCTTGCGTGCGCTCGTTTCTGGTATGAGTCCCACGCAAGTATTGATACATGAGGCCCCAGGACTTTATAATCAGAAGAACTTTAATGTCAGATTTTTTAAAAAATGTTCAAAAAAAATCTCAGCAATTGATGGCGGTTAATCTTCATCAGTGTCATTAGAGCCTCTGATTGGCTGAGGCGGCTTCAGCGTCCCTCAGTGAAGTTAAATGTCACAGGTGGGTTTTGAGGAGACTCTTTCAAGGTTCACACATCACTGATGTTCACGATTTCTAAGATTCAGTCAGGGGACTTTTGGTTGGGGCAGCTCATCATCAGCTGATCATCTCTGGATCAGCTGATCGAAGTTTGGTGAAGTTGTACCGCCCAGGCAGAGAGTGATACTGGATTCAGAGGTCTACCAGTCAGTCAGAGACTCCTGTGAGGGCCACTCTCATGTATTCTCGGTTCTCGCTCCTCTGATGTCTCTCCCCTCTCCTTGGTCCTCTCTCCTTTGAGCTGCATTACCCCCAATTTCCACCACAACCTGAACGTCTGCGAAAAGTCGGTATCCTCCGATCGTAGCTGATCGTAACCATTCAAGTTAACATGTCAATTTCCACCGGCTTCTTTGCGTTCTTCTGCGGATCGCCAGACTCCGCAGCTGATCACAAGAGTTCTATTTTTTGCGGATGCCGGAGCATGCCGGATAAATTCAGCACAGATTAACCTGTGCTGGAAAGGAAGTCGGGCACAGACACAAAATAAAACATCCGGCTTCTTTTCAAAATAAAACACTCCGTGTTTCAGGAGGATCGTATTTCACACCATGCAAACTGACGGAGACGAACAAGTGAAAGGTTTTTAGACATCATTTCACCCCGATGACACCATGGATGAGGAGATGCTGATTCTAGAAGTCTAGAAGTAGATTTCCTCCTCTGGAAGGACACAATCTACTGCTTATATGTCTATGTTGCTGTCTTTATAGAGACAACTTGTTATCACGTGATTGCACGGAAATTTGCGGGTTCTTGTGAGTTCTTGTGATTCCTGCTGTCTGTAATCCACCACGAAATTTGCCTCACAAATGGACCTGGTAGCAATTGGTGGATGGCGAAAATCTGAGCCGTTTTGAATGCGGTGGAAATTGGGGGTTAGGAACCTTGGGCTTTTGGATCCAGGGTGTAACTCCCAATGATCAGAAGAAGGAAGATTCAGCATTCAGGGATGAATCAGCCGTTTTTCTGCATGATTAAAACAAACTTTTTTCCAGCACATATACACAGACTGTGTTTACAGACAGAAAATGTCCGCAGATCAGGAGATGTTATTCCCTTCTTCTTCAGCAGTAGAAACTCTCCCTCTCTCTCCATTTCTCTCTTTTTTAAAATCTGCAGGTTTTTTTTCTGTGCAGTCTTCTTCTCAGCACATGATGAGTATTTATTCCACTTCCTTGCTCCCCTCCAACGGTCATGATTAGAGCGTCTCTTTCGCAGACCCTCCTGACAGTTTTCCATGGGAGCAGATGTCTCAGTTTGGCTGATAAGTACTGGTTTGTTCCCTGATAAATGAGCTTCAGAGCGCTGCTGCAGGCTGTTTGTTAGCACTGAGGAGGAGGAGAAGGAGGAGGAGGAGGAGGAGGAGGAGGATGAGTGGAGGTCTGCTCAGCCTGCCTGAAAGCGGCGTTTCATGGGCGGCTCATTGACATGTGAGTGGATTGATTTGCATTAAGTGGACAGATCACCTATTAGTCTAATCACTGCTCTCTCCTCTCATTAGAGGAGTTTAGGCTGTCGCAACTCCTCCTGAGGTCTGCCGCTCCTCCTCATCTTCATTCTGATTGGACACTTTAATGAACAGAGCGCTCACATGTTCCCCATCTGATTCCATCTCTGCTCTTGGCCCTGTTTCATACAAATATCATCTCAACGGTTACTGAGTCTGTTCAGCCCACATGACCGACGTTCTTCCCATAATTCTGACAAAGACGATTTTTCACAAACAACGAACCACAGCGCTTCCCCTTTAATTAGCTCCAGTGTCTGTTATATGATAATAGAGACTAAATGTGAGTTTATCTGAAGAAAGTATGCGGAGCGTGAAGCTGGAACATCTCACTGAATTAACCGAGATCTCCTGGACAACAGCTTAAACACAGTAGAGGATTTCCAGACCTCAGTCTGCATGTCTAATTAAAATGCAAAAACAGGTTTTATCTAAAGTAGGGCTGGGCGATAAAACAATAACGATATATATCGACAATCAATTTCTCTCAATATCAATATATAAAACATGGTCAATATCCTTTTCGATAATCGGCATTCTGCCATGTTTTGGTTGACTATACGAATAACCAATGAAAAGGGGAGTTGCTGAAGGTCCACTTCACGCTGAACCAATCATGTGCTGAATTAGAACCAAGTAGCGAACAACTGTGTTGTAGCAGACAGCAGCTACACCCAACCATAGCACTTTAACAGGTGAAGCCGATAGCACTGTTGGTGAGAAAAAAAGAAAATGAGTGCTACCCCTGACAGAAATGACCATGAAGGCTCAACGGATGAAGACATCGTCGACAACACTGGCACAAAAACGTTGGTGATGTGGAGGTATTTTGTTTTTTTGAGGTTGGACATAAAGCAGAGTAATGTGTACTGCAAATGATGTCGAGTACATGTTCTCACAAAGTCGGGGAATACCTCAAATCTTTTTCACCACTTGAAGCAGAGCACGTGCAACGCAAAAGGTTACAAACCCAGAGAGGAGCAAGGAGCCCATGGCGCCTGAAACAGCCGATCATTCAGTCCACTTTCTCTAGAGCAACGCCTTACGACAAAACGTCAAAGAGACACAGAGACCGCAAAGATGCAGGAGATTATTGTATTGGAAAAGACATGCGACCAATAAACACTGTTAAATTTCATTTTTTTATCGTGATGCATATCTATATTAACTGATATGAAATAATATATTGTGATAAACTCTTCCACATATCGCCCAGCCCTAATTTAAAGGTAAAAATGATGAAAATCCAGTTTGTAGGCCCTTCAATCTTCCACGAATGCGTGCATGTGTAATTTAATTGTACTTAGGGTTGTGTGGTCTCTACAAGCAGACACAAAGACAGACATGTCAATGTAAATGTCAATTTTATTTGTATAGCACATTTAAACAGCCAGTGGCCTACCAAAGTGCTTTACAATAACGAAGCAGTAGCAATAAAAGCAAGTCATACACAACAAACAGCAGCAACAAAAGACATGTAACAGATAAATGTAAATAAAAACAAATATATAACCAATACAAGTATCATACTCCGTCAAAAGTTAAGGTGAACAAGTGCGTCTTCAGTTGGGTTTTAAAAGTAGAGAGACTATTTGCAGTGCGCACACTTAGGGGTAGTGCATTCCACAAAGTGGGAGCTGTAACCGCAAACACTCGCGCCCCTCTGGATTTTAAAAACGAACGAGGCACGTCTAAAACGACTCGGTCAGCAGACCTAAGGGCTCTGGAGGGTTGGTGTAGCTTAACAAGGTCAGCCAGGTACTCCAGGGCCAGCCCATTCAGAGATTTAAAAACAAATAAAAGAATCTTAAAAACGATCCTGTGCCTAACTGGAAGCCAGTGTAGAGAAGAGAGCACTGGAGTTATGTGCAAATACAACTTTAAAGTATAGTACAAATGATTCACTGATACAAATGAAACTGCAGAAGAAGAAATGTTGCACACTCAGGCTTTCATATGTGAGTCCTCCAGGCCTGCAGGGGGCACTTGTTGCATCAAGTTTGTATTTCTGAATTTCTCTGAACAACACTGAATGCCCTCTTAGAGCAAAGATATACTGACAATCGATGACATGTACATGGCTGCCACGGGTCCCTGGCCTTGGTCCAATAAGTCTGCAGACTCATGGTTCTTCCTTCAGCTGCTCATATTTATGTTTGTGAAAAGTCAGACTGCAGTCCTGGACAGTTCTGAACCCCGTCAGCTGGAAACCTTAAAAATGACCTTTACCCTTTGAGGATGAAGATTTACTCCTTAAACTTTTATGATCGTCTGATGCAGCAAACACACACACACACACACACACACTCGTGTGTGTTTACAGAGGAACATTTAAGGTCGATAACAAACATCCTTTGCCTTGAGACTTTCTCACCTGATCTTCTGATGGAAGAGGAAGAAACAGAAGACAGTGTGTGTGTGTGTGTTTGTTTGTGTGTGTGCGTGTGTGTGTGTGTGTGTGTGTGTGTGTGTGTGGGGGGGGGGGGGGGGGGGGGTTCCTCAGAGAGACACAGAGGAGATCAGAGAGGAGGAAGAGGAAGTCCTTTTATAGTCGTCTTCAGCTGCTGCTGCTGCTGCTACTGCTGCGTGACGACAGCATTTCTGTTTTCTGGAGGCAGAGGTTCAAACCTCTGATGGTCCATATCTGAGTAATGAAGTATAATTACAGGCATGTTCATGAGTCATCTGTGCTTTCATATAAAGAGGACAGTTCTATTAGAATATGAATGGATGAACGGGCCGCGGTGATACACTGGACCTGAACCTGTGTTCAGGTTAGTCCTGCAGACAGGTGGGATCTTGTTTAAGGAGGAGGAGAAGAGTGTGGATGAGCGTTTGGATTTCTGCTGTTTTCTGATTTTCATGCCCGTCAGTCAGTCAAGCTGTAGTCGTCTGTGATTCCCTCGTTTTTGTAAAATCTCACTCTGAATAAGAACTCAGACTTGTTGGCACACATGTGAGAAAGATGGGGAGGAGAGACAAGATAAACACAAGCTAGAGTAACAGTTTAACTTTGTGTGTGTGTGTGTGTGTGTGTGTATCCCTATGTAGTAAGTAATAATAGTGACTAATTAAAGTAAAAAGAATAATGCGACAGAGCAAACGCACAAAACAAAAACTGAATAAATGAAATTATCAACCAAACCAACCAACCAAAGAAATTATAAATATATATATATATAAATATATATATATTTATGTAAATGTATATGTAAATATATGTAAAGGTGTATATATATACACATATATAAATATATAAATATATAAACACACACACACGCGCACACACACACACACACACACACATATCTTTATATACAGTCAAGCCCCAAATTTTTCATACTCCTGGCAAATTTTGACTTAAATTCACTTTTATTCAACTAGCAAGTTTTTTATTAATTGGAAATGACACAGGCATCTCCCAGAAGATAATAAGATGATGTACAAGAGGCATCATTGTTGAAAGAAATATTTCAAAGCTTTTATTTACATTTGAACAAAAAGTGGCATGTCCAAAATTGTTCATACCCTTTGCAAACTGTCTCTGTCTATGGGAGAGTCCAAAGTTCTATACCATTCCAAATAGTCCAAGCTGTTCTAAAGCATCCTAATTACCCTGGAAACAGCTGTTTTGATCAACTTAACAGGTGAAAAACAGCTCTCTGCAGTTGGGTTTTGGACAGTCATGACTAAGACAAAGGAGCTCACTGAGGACCTGCGGCTGCGCATTGTGGCTGCTCAAGGTCAGGAAAGGCCTATAAGGCCATACCTAAATGTTTTCAAGTTCCAGTCGCTACAGTGCAAAGTAGGACTAGGCGATTATATGATCGTGATCGATGATCGCGATAAATTTCAGTTCGATCACGGTGATCAGCTGCAAGCATATTTACTCGATCAAACATGGCAGAAATGTGCGTCACAACAGCCAATCAGAGTCGAGCTTTCCTGCTCAGTTCTGTAAGTTACCGGAGAAGTAAGGAGAAATAAACAGAATGACCGAACATGGAGCTAAACGCGGAGCTGAGGGCAGCAAAATAGATGTGAACCGTGACTTTGAGTCATCCTCTGAAGATGGTATTGTTGAGAAGTTATTCAATGTCTCTCCAAAGTGACGTCGAGCAATTAAGCAGATAAACCGGCAACATAACAAATCTGGTCTTCCCGAGTGATTATGCGGGAAGCATGAAAATGCAAGCAGAGTCAGCACAGCCTGTCACTGCTGACGGCACAAGTAGCATTAGCAGTTTAGCTACAACTAGCGGTGCAGCCACTAGACCAAAACAGCGATCAATCATATCCGTACCTGCCAACACTCCCGTTTTTCCCAAGACTCTCCCGTATTTCAGACCTATCTCCCGCCCACCCCCTGAATTGTCATTTCTCCCGGGAATTTCTCGTAACATGGTCAGCATTCATTCATAAATCGGATCACTATATTTGTCCAAAGTTTCCAGACAACCGGAGATCGTACTGTGTTTCTGCTGAGCCTCACAGACACTGGATTGATACTTTTACTTTACAGTTTGGGATGACTCAGGTCGGTTTCAGCTGTGAACTATATTTAAGCAGTGGTTGTTGGAAAATGAACACTTCAATGAAAGGAAAACAAACGCGAGATATGCGAGAGTGATGCGTTTATTGAATTTGCTTTGTTATTTACTTTGTATGTTAATAAAATGTTGAACTAATCTCTACACTGTGTGCACAATTATTAGGCAAGTGAGTATTTTGATCATATCATCATTTTTATGCATATTTTCCAACTCCAAGCTATATAAACTTGAATGTTTATTGGATATAAGCATATCAGGTAATGTGTATTAGTGTAATGAGGGAGGCTGGGGCCTAAGGAGATCAAAACCCTATATCAAGGTGTGCATAATTATTAGGCAGCTTCTTTTTTCCTCAGGTAAAATGGGCCAAAAAAGAGATTTAAGTGACTCCGAAAAGTCAAAAAATGTAAAAAGTCTTTCAGAGGGATGCAGCACTCTTGAAATTGCATAGATATTTGGGCGTGATCACAAAATCAGCAAACATTTTGATGCAAATAGTCAACAGGGTCGCAAGAAATGTGTTAAGAAAAAAAAAACGCAAATTAACTGCCAAAGATTTGAGAAGACTCAAACGTAAAGCTACCAGGAATCGCTTATCCTCCGGTGCCGTCATATTCCAGAACTGCAACCTACCTGGAGTGCCCAGAGGTACAAGATGATCAGTGCTCAGAGACATGGCCAAGGTAAGGAAGGCTGAAACCTGACCACCACTGAACAAGACACAAGTTGAAACGTCAAGACTGGGCCAAGAAATATCTGTAGAGAGATTTTTCAAAGGTTTTATGGACTGATGGGATGAGAGTGACTCTTGACGGACCAGATGGATGGACCCGTGCCTGGATCAGTAATGGGCACAGAGCTCCACTTCGAATCAGACACCAGCAAGATGAGCTAGCTGGACCTTTTGGGTTAAAGATGGAATCAACTCCCATGCCATTTCTATTTTTATCGTTTGAAGCGATAGGCTGTATTTTATCCATAGGGCTTGTGCCATCAGATGATTCATAGTAACAACAACAATAATTGCACATTCAGTAAGTGCATTTGGTGTCAAACGGGAAAAAAAACAATATTTCCTTACAAAGGAAAGGATGCGTTGACATGGAAGCTGGCATTTCTCTTTCGATTTTGCGACATGACACCGCTTTGCGTGCCCTCTTTGTGTCCAGCGTCTCCAGCCGTTGCGGGTTACCTGGGTTACACATGTGAGGGGATCATTGTAAGTAAACATGGAGACAGGAGGGGTAGGCAATACGCTGGCGAAAAAAGAAATTGAACCCCCACAATCAGCAGAGACGGCATCCCAGGACAAACTCCTACCCAAACAAGGGGGTAGCTCTTCAGTCTGGCTTTATCTTGGTTTCAAAGCGACGGATTCAGAGCAGAAAACGGTCATATGCAAAGTATGCAAGAAAAGTGTTCCATCGCCCAACGCTAACACAACCAACTTATTCTACCACCTCAGAAAACACCACGAGAAGGAGTACACTGAGACCCAAAAGGCAAGAGTCACACCAATCAATGCTAGCAGCGCTAAACCCAATCAACCAAAAATTCAAGACGCTCTGGTACGAAACAAACCCTACAAGAAAACGTCCTGCATTTACCAACAAATAACAGACGCCATTGCACGCCTCATTGTTAAAGGTATGGTCCCGGTGTACTTGGTGGAAAAGAAGGCATTCAAAGACCTCATCAAAACGCTAGACCCCAGATATATCGCGCCAAGTTGGAAGTACTTCACTCGAATCGAGCTGCCTTGTTTGTACCGAGAGACCGGGGCCAAAGAGATCCGCAATGCGTGTTTTTGCGCCTTGACAACTGACCTTTGGACGAGCCGAGTGACCCAGTCCTACATGTCTCTCACTATCCACTTCATTGACCGGGACTGGAACCTGTGCTCTCGCTGCCTTCTTATTTCCCAGAGGATCACACGGGAGCCACGATAGCCCAAGGTATGTGTGGCAGGTAACGTTATTATTGCTGTCTTTATCCATGTTTCTTGTGTCGTTTTTCTAACATACCTCCGAATAGAGTGTAAGGATGTACCTTTGCATGCAGTATCCCGTTTATTATTTAAACTGTCCTGTCAGGCTTTGTGTAGTGTTAGGGTTTATGTGGCTATGTGTGTGGCAGTGAACCCTGATAGCATTCATTCAGCTGCTCTAGCTTTGAGTGATGCACTGGAGTCATGGGGACTGGAGGAGACCGACCTCGTCTCTATCACCACAGACGATGCTGCCAATAACATCACCACAGCGCAGATCAATGATTTGCTAAGTCTTCAGTGCTTTGGTCACCGTCTCCAGTTAGCCATTGGTGAGGAACACAACACAGCCCAGTCTAATATTGTAATGGGATATATTACAACAACAACAAAAGCTACAATATTAGTGATTTGGAATTAAGTTTGGTTTTCTTGTGTGTTGTTTGGTTAGGTCTAGCCTATATTGAACAAGTCATACTCATCTTAATTCACCTGTATTGGATGTGACTTATAATTGTTACTTTAGTCTGCAGATCAAATAGTTAATTCATTTAAATGTATGCATTGAGTATTTAAATACAGCATAAATGTGTAATGTCATTAAATATAATAATAAGATGCATAAATACATGATCAAGTTAAAATACCTAAAATGTTCAAAATTGCTATCAAAACATAATGATTAGCTATGTTCTTTCCCCTTATATCTAAACAGAGGCCGCTCTGAGAGCTTTACCACAAGCACAAAAGAACGCTGTCGAACAGGCTGTGGGGATGTGTAAGAAGGTCGTCAGTACCTTATCTAACTCACCCAAGAAAAGGAGGGAGCTCCACAAGGCTCAGGAGGCCCTGGGCTTGCCTTTCCATGAGCTCATCACCGAGTCTCCTACAAGATAGGGTTCACGCGTTTCAATGATCAAGAGGTTTCTAGAGCAGGAGAGCGCTCTGTCCCAAGTCCTCCGTGCGGACAAGAAGGTGAGTCAGCTAATCCAAGTGTATCACAGCTTATTTTCCACTGTACACACACACACACACACACACACACACACACACACTCTACAGTTCCTCAACTGTACACACAAGCACACACACAGACACAGACACACAGCAATAATTCACCTCATTAAACAGCCCCTTTCCTTTATTCTCTGACACAGAAGAGACACCTGGTGCCAAGCTGGCAAGATATTTCCCTCCTTGAGAGCATGAACAAGGCCCTGGCTCCTCTTATGGAGTTCACTGATGCCTTGTCGGGGGACGTCAGCATCTCCTTCCTGAAGCCCGTCATCCATCTCTTTAACACTGAGGTACTCAAAAGGCAGGATGACCCAGAGCTGACAGAGGCCATCCGTGAGGCCATCCTTCAGTACCTGAACGAGAAATATGATGACCCTACCACCGACGACCTCCTCGACATAGCCACACTGGTCAACCCGCGCTTCAAGACGGCCTACATCCGGGATGCAGAGAGGGTGGAGCTGATCAAGGCTTGTGCTGCTACAGAGATGGAGGACATGGTGAGATCTGAACATGCACCTACAGCAGCAGCCCCCTCACCTCCACCAGCTGCTGCTGCTATAAAGGAAGAGGATGATCCACAGCCTCTCCTTCCAGCAATGAAGGTAAGGAAGAGTCTTGCAAGCTACTTCAAGAAGACACCTGCACCAGGCCATGGCACTGCCCCCAGCAGGATGCAAATCGAGATGAAGCTGAATATGTACCTGCGGGCTCCTGAGCCTGACTCAGAGGCCGACCCTCTGGAATGGTGGAAACTGCATGGGATGAACTTCCCTCGTGTAGCCAAGCTTGCAAAGAAATATCTGTGTATTCCCGTGACCAGTGCTTCATCTGAATGGGCCTTCAGCACCAGCGGTAACATTGTTACCTGCAAGAGGTCATGCCTCAAGCCCAACCGAGTTGACATGCTCACTTTCCTTGCCCCCAACCTTTAAGGTTCATCCCATGCATTAATTTCCTGTTTGTGCCTGACTGTGACACCTACAGAGGCAGCTTTAATGTACTGTTAGTTCTTCAACTGTTTTTTCTTCAGACTTGCACTAAAGGTTAATGATTCCAGAGACTGCAACGGTTTACACTTGATAAACAAATGTGTATTTATATAGGTATATTAACGTGTGTGTGTGTGTGTGTATATATATATATATATATATATAGATAGATAGATAGATAGATAGATAGATAGATAGAGAGAGAGAGACAGACAGACACCTTGGATGGAGACCTTGGATTCTGTATACATTATATATGAGATTACGTATATAGAAATATATATGCATAGACATATTTATATTTACATACATATGTAAAATAAATAGTAAATGAAAACTAAACAGATGTCTGTGAGAAAAAAACATAAAAAAAATGTTCGGCCTGACTTATATATTTATATCTAAATATTAATTTGACCTATATGAAATGGCATAATGACAATTAAATAGAGATAACACAAAGATAACTGACATAATACTCATAAAATAATGATGAAGGTGAAATAATAATGTGAGTGAGTCTGATACCAGTCTGTAAAGGATTTTCAAAGTCCTCAGCTGACTGTTAAACACCGGGGTCAAGAACTTAGAGAGAGACGATCTGTGCAGAAGACTAATCCATGCATGTTTTTAGATCTGAGCTTGAGGTTTTAGCGCCTGTATGAGTCGTGTCAGAAAGAGTGTACTCAGACGAACTGGACCTGTGATTGAAGCCCCTGAAGTTTTCCACTCAGTCCCAGTATCATGTAAAAGGATTTCTCTGGATAAAGTTCTGCAGCTGTCACAAAGCTCTCTGTTTTTTTCTCTAGTTTGCTTTTTCTCTTGTTCTTTTTTTGCCTCTGAGACAGTTACATGACGAACGTGTCGGCTCTCTCTCTCTCTCTTAGTGAGGATCGATTCCTTTGTTTGGTCTTTGCTCACTCTGAGTTATTTTGCTCCAGTTTGTTCTCACATTTTCACTTTGGGACTGTGTTAACAAGTTAAGCTCTGCTGGGTTTTCTCATTGCTGATGGATTTTTTAATCTGTGTCTATGAGCCGTGGAGGCTTTGTCACAGCGTCACAGTTTTTTCTTTTTCAGCAGCAGATATCATAGCAACAAGAAGAAGAAAAAGAAGACGGCCTCAAGTTTTCAGCTGTAATCAGGTCCTGAACGAGGCCTTTCTCTCTCTGCTGATTGACGGAGACGAACTTTGAGTGTGTGATTGTGTCTGAGGCTTTTCTCCTCCACTCCTCCAGCTCCTCAAGTGTCCGTCTGTAATTTGTTTGCATCTGTGAATGTCAGCGTCCGTCTGTGCTGCTGCGTCTCATCAGCCTGCATCTTTAAAAGCTCAGCCTGACAAGTAAATCGGCGAAAATTGCCCAAGAAGAGATTTGTTTTGGCTTTTGTTTTGATTCGCACAGAAATTACATTCCTCTCAGGAAATGGCAGGAAGATAGCTGCATATGTGTGTGTGTGTGTGTGTGTGTGTGTGTGTGTGTGTGTGTGTGTGTGTGTGTGTGTGTGTGCGTGCGTGTGTGTGTGTGTGTGTGTGTGTGTGTGAGGCTGGCCTCCGTTAAACCCGGGACCATGTCTCTGTCTTTGTCTTAATGTCACATCCAGCATACACACATACATGTTAAGAGTCAAACCGGAGCCCCTGTAGCTCAAATTTGCAGATGGACAGGGGACCTTTTCCGTGTGTGTGTGTGTGTGTGTGTGTGTGTGTGTGTGTGTTTGAGAATGTTGATGTGTTTAATGGAGCAGCATGTAAACAAATCTGTGAACAATAAGAGCAGCTGCAGAGGAGGACAAACCCACCGAGACCATCACTCAAACTGCTCCTACACAAACTTAAGACTGGACCGCCGTGGTCGTCAGAGGAGAGGACTGCTCATCACCGACGCCTCAGAGCTGTCAGCAAGTTTAGAAACAAATTCATCCCGATTGTACTCAAACTTTGATTCTTCAGGAATATTCCCGCAGAGATGCAGACGTCTGGTTTTCCTGCAGAGCAGAGGAAGGACGTCAAGAATTTCACCATGAGGTCAAAGGTCACAGCTGCTAAGAGATTTAGGAGTCACCCCCAATTTCCACCGCATCTGGAAAGGCTACAAAAAGGCCATATCCTCCGATTAGCAACATTCATCTCTGGAGGGGGTGTCTAACTCGGTGTTATGGTGTGTTTGACCCTAAATTAATTTTATGACGGAATATACCTTTAACAGCAGCTTCTGGTGATGTCCTCTGTCGTGGATTAGAGGTCAAAGAAAAACCAAAAACCCAAAATAAAGAAAACTTTAAAACAACAAAAATACTTCTGAAGATCCAAATCAGAAAAAACTAACAAACACTGGAGCAGGAAATGACCTGACAACATGGGAGGGGACAAAACTTTCACAGTCACAGGAAGGACAGACAACGGACCAAATTGATGAAGGTCATCAGAGGTCAAACTCAGGAGGTCACCCTGAGGACTAAAGGTCCTTTCACACCAGGGCCGACGCAAATATATAACGCAAAATAAGAAATATTCGGAGGTGAAATTTGACATGCCTGACAATACACACACTAAGCCCGATGCGATTTTGCGATTTTCCAGGGGGGAAAAAGACGCGTCCCGGGTGGAAGCGAGAAGAGTGACCCAAGAGCAGACTGAGTGTTTTTCAGTTCTGATTAGACACTAGTGTTGAGATGTCTGTCTGTCATGATAGCATGTACTGAGTCGGAGCCAGTACCAGAAAAGAACATTAAACTATAATCCATAAATGTAAGGTAACAACCAAGACTCAATGATGCTGTGACAGCAACACTTGTGACTAAGTTTGAGACAGTGAAAATACATATGGTATTTTGTATCTTTTGAACAGGTTAGCTTACGAGCTAAAGTTACAACACACAAACCATCGTCATATGAGAAATCCGACGCTATGACTCTCCACAAGTTGTCCTTCAGGTCATTAGCTTTGTAATGTTTGTGTTTTTTTTATCAAAAAGTACTCTGTTCTCCGACACGTAAACAATCAGTCGGTGAATCTGTTGTCGCAACAACACGCAATCTGATTGGTCAGAAGTGGACACACAGTATGCGAAACTTTAGAAAATTCAACCGTGATCCGAAAAAATAAATGCCGCAATATCGCAGGGTGGGAAAATGTCACTGATGTGAATGCTTGTATTGACAGGATACAGGTTCTAAAAGAAATATTGACATCCGAAATAATCGCATGAAAAAAACGCTCCCGGTATGTAAGGACCTTGAAACTACAAACTAAAAGAGGAAACACTGACAGGATCCCAGAATCAGGTTTACTAAAGGAAAGTTTCCAGCAGGTCAGGATTTTTAAATGTAGTAAATTTCAGGACCCTCCCTCAGTTGTGGACCCTGAGACCTGGACACTCTCACCCATGGAGGCCCACACAGAACAGACCAAGTCTCTGAGTCTGTCCTTCGTTCTGCTGAATTATTGCTGTCTTACTTCACTTCAGTTTTTCATCCTCCTCCTTTTCCCTCAGCTCTTTATTTCCTCAAGTTTAAATAAAATCACAGTTTTTACTAAAACATTCTTTAATGACAGCATGAAGAGCTGGGAGACCGAACAAATACTTGTTAAGGTGGGCTAAATCTCAGAGAAAACTGGACCAGGTTGGAGGTCCTGACTTTGAAATCTCTCCATGAAGGTCACTCAGGTGACTTTTTGACCTCCACACTAACACAAACTCCGTCAGTATGATCAGGATGTTAATCCGCCCTCAGTCTTAATGTTACTCTAACCTCCTCCAAACAGCGGAGTTAATATAGACTCTAACATGTAGATGTACTCTCCTGCTCTGCTCTGGATGAAGCTGTGTTGGAAAATTGTTCCTCTCCCCTGATTCAGAGCAGCTTTGATCACAGCGCTGTGTAAACACGGCGAGCGTTCAGCCTTCAGCTTCAACGAATACAAACAGAAACAACGAAAAAAGAAAGAAAGAAAGAGAGTGTGCTTACAGGCGAGTGTGTGTGTGTGTGTGTGTGTGTGTGTGTGTGTTCTGTCGTGTTGAGATCCCTGCATGAGGAGGAAATTGGAAGCAGCACTCTCCTTTCATCTCTCCACCTCCCTACTGACAACAATTAAGAACACACACACACACACAAACAAACAAACAAACAAACAAACACACACACACACACACACACACACACACACACACACAGTTACCTAGCCTTTTTCCTCCACATTGAGTCTTTTCTGGAGCAGATGATCCCAGTTTGACCCTGCAGCTCTCTTAATAAATACTGATGCAGCTCCACCGCCAACGCCACTGCCGCCGACCACAAATATTCAGATTACAGGCACTCGCACACACAGGAGAAAATAACACCTGAATGACAGGTGTGTGTGTGTGTGTGTGTTTCTGTGTGTGTGTGTTATTACAGAGTCATTCCTGTTAAAGGACACAGTGGGGGGAGGGGGTTCATAAAAGCAGAACTGCAGGCGACACACTCCAAACAATGATGGGAGCCTCTCTGAGTGGGCGAGGCCTCAGCACCAATCACAGACGTGGATGCCCTGCATCTGAATACAAACTGAGTCAGCAGATCTCTGTGAATAAGGTTTTCTTCAGTGACACGGAGGAGAGGACGGCAAACTGTAAGCATGGTTAAACTTGGAGCAGGAGACCGTGAATCCACAGAACCAGAACCACAAGTGAAGAGTAGTCTGTGATGGTCCTGAACCTTGGAGCTGTGGTCTACAGGGACCAGGGTTGGAGACTCAGCTGGTCTCCTGTCTGTCTTATTCCTTTTCATTGAACTCAGTTATTATTTATTACCTCTTTATTATTATTCATCAAAGCTCTAGTACAGTTTGTTGTCACATCCTCCTTTACTCTCCTTGTTAATAATGACTATTATAATAATTATTATTATTACTATAAATCATATAACAATAATAATAATAATAATAATAATAATAATAATAAT